CACTCTTTCACCATCAGTCTGAGAAGGATTTTGATTTAGCTCAGTTATGTTTTATTCTTGCCATCCCTTTTTGTTGCTTTACAGTCTACAACATTCCTAACTCACAATATTACCCTGCCATTCTTACTCATTTTTCTTTTTCCTGAATGGCACAGATCCTTCAGTGCTTCGTATTAGAAGCTAGCTGGGTGAATTCTCAAACACAGCCAGCTTTGCTCACGTGCCTGATGATTAACTGATCCAACCACTCTGAGGTCAGGAAGGAAGTCTCCCCAGGGATACACCTTGTTATTTTTCCTTTCTCTTTCTCCCTAGAGCACCTAGAGGGGGATACCTGCCAGGAAACATTCCATGTCATGATTTCTGCTGAAAACAGAGGGCAATTGCCGACCTTTCTCTTTTTGTTTCTAAAAAAGCATGTTGGTTCAAAGATGACCATTGTTAGTACTGATGTTCTGTTGCCTTGTACCATTCTCTCGACCGTGGCACTGTAGGATCTGTTTAATCAGTATGTTACTGGATGAAGCAGAATTCCCAATCAACAGGAGTCTAATGCATTAGCACCAGGTCTCAGCTGAAGCATTTTAGCTGAAGTGCCTCATCTTAATTCCACAGAATTATTGTCCCCCATTACACACCGGTCGTTACCATTAAGTATCATTGGGCTTCAATCAAGTTCTCTAGGAGAAGTCCTCATTAAATGGAGGGCATCTTTTTTTTTTTTTTTTTTTTATTCTGTTCCTGGGAGAATCACTCACTGAGAATACAGCAATGACAGTAATGACAATACCTGTGTAAACTCAGATTTGCAGATTAGCTGAACTCAGACAGTCAGCACTATGGTTTGAATAGGTGGTTTTAGCATGCTTTTTGTTTCAGCTTTCCACTGACAATCTTTATTCAGAAATATTTTAATTGATAAATAACCAATATTTGCTTCAGTTAAATTCACAAGGACATATTACTCAATCTGCATACATATTTGGGCAGCCATCAAGTAACCATGAAAATGCCCATTAGTTCTAGAAAGATTCCTTTTCCCTACTTTAGCCACTGACAGACACTGAAGTAGAGTGATTCACAACTAAACTATGTTACTACTGGCGGAAAATACCCCACTAAAATAATGATCACACATCCTTTAGCTGCTGAGGTATAACATTTTTTTCAACAGTAGAAAACCTTTGTATTTGATTAAAAAAAAAAGAAGAAAGTTAAGAGATTTTCATTGTATCTTTGAAGCTCTACTTAATATCAAAGCAAATTTCAAATAGTTAATGTGATCACAAAGCAGCTGGTGTTGCTCTCCAAACTAAAGAACTATACTAAAAAAAACCTCTTCAGGCATCTGGAGCTGTATTAAGTTTACAATGCAGTGTTAATGTAACCTTTCCACCCCTTTTTCTTCCCACCCTCACCCCCTTTTTTTAAAATGAGTGTGATATAAGTGAAATCTGACATTTCATTTAGTTTAATATCTTGTAACTATACTACAAAATATCTAAATCTTATAACATATCTAGATGTGAGGCTGAGGCCAGGCTCAGAGACTGGATCCCAACGCCCTGGAACTTTGGTTATCAGCCAAACCAAGCCCAAACTGTGTAGCTTCACACCCATCTCTAATCAGAAGCATTAACTTGACACTTTTCCAGACATGAGTAACCATTCTTCCATGCTGGAAGAACTCAATAAGATGCATTGTACAGCACTATTTCCATGTCTCTTATTTATATTTGTGTCTCAACAACAAAGCCTGAGTTTTGGCCTTTCATTCAATTTCCATTAAAGAGCAAAAATGTGTTTTGATGAGACCCTTTCAGTGCCAGGTTTCAGTAGCAATTTAAATGAGAACTTTGATACAGGGATTCGCTCTTCTGTTTTTTTTAATAACCATAAAAAAGAGTATCTTAATGTCTCCTGGAGATCTGACAAGCACTACTCCATTGAAAAGGAATATATTCGGTTCTGCAGAAAACCAGAGGTACAAATCAAAAGATACTCAACTGAGCATTGCTGCAGAAGTCTGCTTGCATAAGGAAAGTTAAATGCGTGGAAATGTTTGAAAGAGGAGGGCCTTAATAACAACAGCTGTACAAATAATTTATTAGGAAAAAACAATAAAGGTTTTAGATGTGGCCCAAGAATAAAACATAATGAATTAAATCATAAAATGAATAAAGTATCCTACTGCACTGTGCTTTTGAACCCTGCTCTTACTTTGCTCACATGTTCCTGTACTGGTAGGAAGAATAACTGTCCTTTCAAACCTAATAAACAATTCTGCACATTAATTACTTTGCCTGATGTGAATGTTAACAATTAAAATGAACGTGTTCACAGTGTGCAACCACACCACTAATATTTGAAGTTATCTTTTTTTCCCCAGTTCTGACTTTAAGGGTGACCGACAGACCATCAGACCATGCTCAACAAGCAGTAGGCAAAGAAGTGTTTGCCCAAATGTAAAAAAAGAAAACCAAAACACAAAACAAACAAACAAACAAAAAACCCCAAAAATCAACCAAAAAAAAAAAGGAGAATCCAAAAGACAGAGACAGTGGAGCATTCAAGAAGACTCTTAACTTCCGTTACGTTCAGGGAAGTCATGCTTCTATCCTTAGAAACAATACCCTTAGAAAACAAGCTATCTTTGCTTATTGCCCTTCAAGTTCATCATGGCTAATTTCCTTTGGAACACAGAGCTTTTTTACTCCCAATGTGTAAAATTTTACAATTGAACTACTTTTCCTATCTCTTTTTTATACATACTGACCTCTGTAGCCCAGAACAAAGCTCATCGACCGATGCGTCCAGTTTTGAACAAGCCTGAATGAAGATCTTGCTTTCACTCAAAACCTCAAGCATTTTGCAATCTGTCTCAAAGGGTTCATTTTTGTAATGCTGAAACAAAGTCTTGTCAACATTTTTGGTTTTGACAAAAAGTAAGCTAAACCTAGCGGTTTCGCCTGACCTTGATTAATTTGGGGGTTTGAACTTAAATCTCACAGTGAAACTCAAAGGCTATGAACTCACATGGACTGAAAGTGCAACAGGAGTTTAAGTAAGCCCTGCAAAACAGAACCAGAGAGTTTCACTTGGCTCTATTTTTCCGGCTTGGCATGTTGTAAGGCAGAAAACCCAGATGAAGAGTCTGTCCCAGCTCATTTTCTTCTCCACTAAACTGCTGATTTTGGTACAAAGATCAAAAGCAAGGCCATACTTTCTCATGTACAAGACACACGCCAGGTGGATGGGCTGAAGGAGCGAAGGCATTCCACCAGTAACCATGGGGGTGCTGTAAGACTCATTTCGGTTTCCCTGTTGAACGTTTCACTGGAAATTTGAAGCTGCTTAGGCTCCGTAACATCGCCATTTTGCACGCGGAGATACAGAGGTGAAACAAAGAATAAGGCCGATACCAGAGATAGATTCCTGCCCAAAACAATCAGATCCAAAATCCTCCTGCAGTTCAGCACCTGATGGAAGTCCAGGGTTTTAGTTTCGCTCGCCATAGTGAGGGGGCAGCTAGCATGAGACTGAAACCAGATCTGAATTTCTTCAGTGTTCAGGTGTGTTTGGATCCAGAGTTTGTATTTTGGCTGTTACAACCAATATTATTTGTAATATGGCAGTGCCTAAAATCCCCAGGTGCTAATCAGGATACCCTTGTGCAAGATTTTTTACAAACTCATAACAAAACAAACAAAAAAATGAGACTGTATTTATGCTTCATCACATTCCACAATCAGCTATTCTAGCTGGCTCTAAGAGCCGACAAGATCTGTTTACATGCTATAAATTGAGTTTTCTTTTACACTCAGATTTTTTTTGCATTCTTGGCAGATGATATCTAATTGCTGGTTTTTTTCTTTACGGAAATTGCCACTTGAAAAAAAAAAAAATCAGTATAAATTTCCTAACAATGAGCACCTCTTTTGTCTCATATCTTGTCATCTCTAAAAACACAGAATGAAGAAGTCACTGCAGTCTCTTTAAACCACTAGTGAAAAAAATTAAGTTGGTCATGAATTTTTCTTTAAGTTTATTTCCGCTCAAAACAAAAAATTAATAACTTACATTCTTTGCCTACATTTCTTTAACATTGTTTGAGCTTTCAGAAGCTTTCATTTTGCAGTATTTCTCTTAAAAGTTGAGGGTTTTTTTCTTAATAAAAATATACCTCCTGAGAATTTTTTATTGCTAGTAAAAGTAAAAAAAGAATCACTTGTCTGTGAAAACATGTTTTGGTGGAAAGTTTTAAACAACTCTGTAAACTCCTGTGGAGTTTTAACTTCATTTATAAATGAGGAAACTGATCCAAGTGCCCAAGCAATGGAATGTGAATTGCCAAACCTAAGGATGTCACCTTCCCACTGCAAGTCTTTGGGGTCTACAAGAAAATCACACATCCCCCAGCAGGCTAAAATCCTCTTTGTACCATGGCTGCGACACAGCGAAGGTACAGTCGTAATGGTAAGAAGCAGCGGCAGCATTTGCAAGTATTTTCACTTTTCACTGCTAGGTCTGAAAGGCTCCGGCCGGCAAAGCGCGCACGCGCTTTCTCCAATGCCTCCCTCGATCAAGACCACAAAGTTTTACCAAGGTGAGCAACCCCCTTTGGAGAGGCGGAAATACATACCAAAAGAAATGAAAACTGGCCATCAAAGGTCACCCAGCAAGCCGGCGGT